AAGACAACGCAGGAGTCAGGCAAGGGTCAGGCCACCCTCCTACCCCAACAAACTAGTCTAGCCACGCCCCCACCCCCACCCCCAAAGAGAACCTTCTGGCCAGCCTCACCCACCAACAATGACACGGGCAAAGGTGCGATCCTCAGCACCCTCCTCAGAGTAGACCATGCTGACAAAGGCCCGGTTGGCAGCTGGCTTGCCCACAGGAGCTCCATGGATCAGGTCTCTCAGGGTCTTAACCCGCAGGTTGCTGGTTTTCTCACCCAACACAAAGCTGATGGCATCCATGAGATTTGACTTACCTAAGTGAGGAGGGGACAAAGCAGAGGAGGGGAAATCAGGAAGAAGGGGAGAGGAAAAGGAATAAAGGAGACACTGAGAAGGAAAGAAATGTTCCCTAATTATTCAGTGCTCAAACGAACAAGAGAAAAAAAATACTGCTTTGCCCCCATAAAGACTGGGTAAAGGCTTAGAAAAACAGCTCCTTTGCAGTGATCGCTTACAGCAGCTCCAAACTAGAATCCCACCTAAGGAAATGGTATATTCACAGAATAGATCATTCTACAACCTTTGATGACATGGGAAAATGTCCACAGTAGGAGAAACAAGCAAGATACAAAATTCAACATAGTTTGATCTCAACCAAGTCAAAAAAAAAAGGCAAAAAAACCAAGGGCTGAGGGAAAGGGGAAAATGGGGAGCTATTGTTTAAGTACAGAGTCTCAGTTTTGCAAGACAAAAAAGTTCAGAAGATTGGTTGCACAGAAATGTGAATATATTTAACACTACTGAACTGTACACTTAAAAATGGTTACTATGGTAAATTTTATGTTACGTGTATTTTCCCATATTCCATATTTTTTTAAAAGGCATATTCCTGTTGTGATACAATATGAAGCACACAGCATCACCTATGAAGTATCTTGCCAAAGATATTTAACCTGAATCTAAACAAACCTTTAAATCTACCTTCCAGTTTATAGGAAATACAGCAGTTAAAGGAAAACGGTAAATGATACCATGAGGAAATCTTATGACAAACACAGAATGTGGGATGTTCTACAAACAACTGGTCTGGTCTTTTCAAAAAGTTAATGTGTTTTTGGGAGAACCATTCCAGAAAACAAGAGATTACTGAGACATAAGCAAAGGCAGCACACAAACTTTGACTGGATTCTTCAAAAGACATTTTGGGAACCTTGAATATAAACTGGATAACCGATGACATGAGGAAGTTAATTTCTTAGGTGTGATACTGATGTATCTGAGAATGGTGATTTTAGGAGATGAATGCTGACGTTAGAGGTGAAATGTCGTTAAGTCTACAATTTACTTTCAGATGATTACATCAAACACAGATGTAGGTTTGAAAAGTTTCATGATAAAAACATGGGGGAGAGAAAGAGGAAAAAATACATAAAAACGTAAACAGAATAACAGTGGTTGTTTCTGGGAAGAAAAATAGGTAACAAGTCAGGGAAGGGAGAGAGCCTTCTTTTTACTGTATATATCCTTTGGGATTTTTTAAATTTTATACTATGTACAAATATTTACTATTAAATAAATAAATTAACATTAAGAGTGATTATATTTTCAGTAGTGTAGTCACAGTTTTTAGTTTCTCCATTTTAGACTCAGGGGAAAAAAACATTAAAAAAATTGGGGTGGGTGGGTATAGCTCTGTGGTAGAGTGCATGCTTAGCATGCACAAGGTCCTGGGTTCAATCCCCAGTATCTCCATAAGAAAAAAAAATTTAGACTGGGGTTGGGGGTGGGGAAGTTTAATCTCTCTAAGTTCTATCTCAAGATTCCCCTTAACATGTTATCTGACCTTGAACTGAGGACCTGGTTTCCAAAACCTTTCTACGCATCTATAAAAATGGCAGTCCGGGTCCTTCCACAGGGCAGTACAAGGCAGTGATTAAGAGCTGGGGTTCTAGTGCAACAGACCAGGTCCTAATCTTAGTTTCACTACTTCTTAGCTGACCTTCTTTTCCCTCACCTGGAAAATCTGAAAAACCATGACTCATGGGTAAAGCTTCTAAAACAATGCTTGGCACATAGTTCTCTGTGGGAGTGGCAGGGGCACAGGCTTTGAAGTATGACAGGCACAGGTTCTGATCCTGGCTCTGAGATCACAGTTCTTTGTGCCTCAGTCTTCTCAGTTATAAAACGAAGATAATGGTATCTCTCTCCTAGGGTCATTGTGAGAACTTAAATGTTAAGTGTCCCAGTAAATAGAGTTCTTGGCACACAGTGGTTGCTCAATAAATGGCAATACTGGGGCTCACAGTCTTTAAGGTGTTAGCCTGCTGTGACTTCTCTTGCCTGGCAAAGCAATAAAGCTGTTCTTTTCTATCCTCCCTCCACCCCCCAAAAAGTGGCAATGCTATCCTAACCAGTCTGGGCTCTATCTCCCTCATCACAGCAAGACTAGCACATCATGCAGACCAGGAGTCGGTCTTTTAGGCACCCATTTCCAACCTTTGGGCTCCTCCCATGCTCTCTAAGGATGGCAAGAACATCTCACAACCAAAGGCCTCCCTATCCCAATCATTCACCATTGTAAACACTTTTATAACATGCATTATGACCTAAACAATGGTACAATGTTTTAAGCAATGTCTTCTTTGGGGCACTTACCATAGACCAGTAAAGAAGATACAAAAACATATACCATGAATACAAAACAGAAAAAATTAAACATTAACATGTACCAAGTGTCTACTGTACACCAGTGAGGAATTCACTGAGGGGAATCAAGGAATGCCTTTGTGGAGTTGGGCACTGAAGAATGGGGGAGGGGGTGCAGTCAGACCAAGGGCCTTTTCGGAATAATTGGGTATACAAATTGACTCATGTTGAGAGGACCGAAGGCCAAGAGGTGCATCCTGACTCTTTCCACAGGGGCCACCACACCAAAATCCTAAGAAACTGCAGTGGAATCCCAAGCATCAGCCATCTAGGCCAGTGGCTCTCAAACGAGGTGGAGGATCAGGGGAGTGATTTTTGCCCCTCCCCCAGGGGACATGTGGCAATGTCTGGAGACATTTTTGATTGTCACACCTGGGTAGTGGGGGTGGGCTGGCACCTAGTGTGTAGAAGCCAAGGATGCCACTAAACATCCTACAATGCACAGAACTGACCCCACAGCAAAGAATTATCTCACTGGAAATGTCAATAGTGCTGCTGTTGGGAAACCCTGCTCAACAGAGAGCCAAATTCTGGCAGGACTCCAAGGAAGGACATCAGTTAGAGCTACCTCAGCAAGGGTAGTCCCTCAGGCTAGGAAGTGATTTGGCTGGAACACCTCTGGGGTGGAGAAACACAGGATTCCAAACAGACCACTTGTGGAATCCAAGCTTGAGGAATCCAAGGTGTACCATTTAGAGATGGGGAATTTAGATAAGAAATAGAGGCCTTCCTTACTTGACTACTCTTTCTTTCTTTCTTTCCTTTTTACTCCCCCCAACCCAGTTTTAATGAGCTATAACTGACATATAACATTGTATTAGTTTCTGGTGTACAACATGATTCCGTGTTTGCATAGACTGTAAAGTTATTGCCACAGTAAGCTTAGTTAATATATATATCACTTCGCAGCTACATTTTCTCTTGTGATTTAAGATCTACTCTGGTACCAAGTTTGAAATATACAATACAGTATTGTTAACTAATGACCACTTTCTAAAGAGCCATCCAAGTCACTCTATCACATCATCACTGTATCACATTAATTTCCTGCACAGCACTTATCACAGCCGAAAAATAACTTATTTTCTCATTTATTATAGTCTTTCCCCTCTACAACGTAAGTTCCCTGAGAGCACAGCTTATTCTAGTCTCCGTTTTTCCACAGCACCTCGATTGAACAACTCCTTATAAAACAGTAAAACATTCAATAAACTTGACGAGCGAATGAGTTCTGACTTTTGACGGTTTCAGTGGTAGGAAAGGGGTGAATTCGAGGCAATCCCACCTCTCAGATGAGGGTGGGGGGGGTCGAGACCCCAAGCACTCCAGAGACATTAGCGCTGAGTCCGAAATTCAAAAGTGCCGCCTCCGGAGGAGTGTTAAAAAAAAAAAAAAAAAAAGGAACTGGAGTGTACCAATGCGAAGCGGGAGGGGGCGCTGAGCTGAAGCAGAAGTAAACCGTTTGGGACCGGAGGCCACCGGAGGGCTACCAGCGGTCCCACATCTTCCGGAGGGTTCAAACAATGCGTGGAGGCCGGATGCAGCTGGTCCGGCGAGGAACTGCGAAGCCAGAAACTGGCAGCCGGCTCGGGACGCGCCACTTTTGGCGGGAGGGGGCAGTGGGCGGGGTAACGTACAATTCGGCCCGTACCATTCGGGCCGAGGCGGGGGTCGCGCAAAGAGCAGGCAACTGACACCTGGGGAAGAGGCTGGAGTCAGAGCACCCGAGCCGGGAAAGCGGGTCCGGGCCGAACCCCCTCAGGAGGGCAAAGAACCTGTTAGGGTTCGCGACATTTCAGGCTGCACAGGCTGGGTTGTACTAATTTGCTGCCGGATAGGGGGTCCAGGCTGGGACGTGCGCAGGGCCGCAGCCGGGCTTATCTCACCAGAGCCATTGGGTCCAATGATGGCGGTGAACCTCTGAAATGGTCCGATAATCTGTCGACCCTTGTACGACTTAAAGTTCTCGATCTCAATCAGCTTCAGGAAACCCATGACCGTGGCGGCGCCGGCGGCTGTACCAAAGGCCCCGCCGTACGCCTGCGAACTGGGGTAGCCAGCGCGGGAAACACCGCAGTGCAGGCCGGGCGGACGGCAACCCTCGCGAGAATTGTCCAGGCCTAGCGGGATTTTCGGCTTCCGGCGCGGCCGGGAACCAGGGGCGGGGCCGGGAGCCAGGGGCGGGGCCTTCGGGTGACGTAGAGGTTTGGTTGATCCGTTGCCAGGGCGCGAGATTACGACAGACGTTTAGGCCCCGCCCTCTCTTGTTGCATGGCAACGCAAACGGCGGCTACCTAGTCGTAGAGGAGGCGGTGCCGGGAGGAGTCTGCAGCTTTTGGGAGCCGGGGAAGCTGGCTGACCGAGCCGACGCCTGCTGAGACAAGTCAGAAGTCCCAGCAGGGCTATGCCCTCAGGGCAAGAAGAAGGTAGGAGCTTGGCTGTGGCTTTTGCCTCGCCGGCGGGAAAGCTCAAATGGGAACAGGGTCGGGAATTGGAAGGACCCCAGGGAGCGGAAGGCTGTACAGGAAGGAGGGGCCAGCGAGAGGATTCCGTGTTATGGGAGCTCAGATTGCTGAGGGTGGAGTAGGGTTGGGAGTGGGCTGGGGTTAGAAGTGGGATAGGGTGTGAAGTGGGATAGGGTGTGAAGGGGGATGGGGTGTGAATGGAGTTGAAGCGACTCTGGAGCGACTGGGATACGGGGCTGGGGAAAACTATGGCCAGAGGTACTACCCCTGTCCGCTGCCTCTCTCTTGTTTCTCCAGAGTTCAGAGGCTACCGCAGTAGCCCAAGAATAGTCTTGTACCTGAGCCACTTGGCTGCTTGAACCTAGACCCCACCTGGGAGCTTCAAAATTGGGACTTCTTGCTGAGAAAGGTATTTTGTGTGACCTCCCCCGGAAGTCAGTGTCCCTAAGCCAGTGCTTTCCACCTGTATCCTTCTTTGCTTCTCCTCCTTCATCTCTCTCCCACTCTTCATGCCTCACCCCCACCCCATTCCCTCCTCTCCATCCCCCTCTGCCCCTTCCCTTGCTTCCTCCCTTCCTCTTCTCTCTGCTCTCTGTCCCCCTCCTCCATCAACTGCTCTGTTGCCCTCCTTCCTCTTTCCCCCTCTGCCCCCTGAGTCTGCCCTTTCTGTCCCCTTCTCCTGTTTCCCAACTTTTCTATCCCTCTCCTCCATCCCCTCATCCCCCCTCTCCTTATACCTGTTCATTACTAAGCCATGGTTTTAGCAGTCCAAGAAGCTGTCTGTGGAATCCTCCCCTTTAGTGTGACCTTATAATGTGGTGATAGATGGAATGGGTAGGCTGGGGTTGGTGCTTAGACATGGAAAGGGTTTGGTGGCTGCCATAGCCATTCCTGTAACTGTCTTTAAAATGATGTCTGAGGGCTGGGAAGAGTCGTAGAGCCTTAGAATAAGTCCAGGAAAGTAAGAAAGCTTGGAGCCATAAATGAAGTTCATTTGGGAGAAACAGTCATGATCAGGCTGAGGGGTAAAATGACCAAAGGACAGCAATCTCATATAATTGACAGGAACTATTGCTCCATTTAAGAATATGAAATGGAGCTTCGGGGAAGAACTCAAATTTGATCCCTACCTCTCACACTATATACAAAATGCAATTCCAGATAGATTAAAAACTTAAATGAGAAAAGCAAAACTTTAGAAATTTTAGAACAATATATGGGAGAATATCTTTATGACCTCAGGGGATTTCTTAAATAATAAAAACTTCTAAGCTTAAAGGAAAAGACTGGTCAATTTGACTACATTCAAATACCTCCAAATTACAACATAAAGTGAAAAGATGGTAAGTGTACACAGAAAGCGTCTAAAGTACATTGATAATGTTTTCTCCTCTGTGTTCTGTAGAGGGTTCATGGGTGTTCATTTTGTTGTACTTCATAACTTACATGTGTGTTAACCATATTCTTTTGTATGTATCAACTGTTACCATAAAATTATTCTATAATAATAATAAAGTGAAAAGACAAGCCACAAACTGGAGATGTTTGCCACATTTAAACTAAGAAATGATTAGTGTGTAGAATACATAAGGAACTCCTAAAATTAATATGAAAAGGACAAATGATTTTTTTAATGAACAAAAGATGTGAGTGGGCACTTCACAGAAGAGAAACAAAAACGGGCAAAACGCACATGAAAAGATGTTGCAACCTCATTAGCAGTAAGGAAAATTCCAATTAAAATTGATCATTATATTATACCCACAAATTGGCAAAAATTAAAAAGTCTGTATCAACTGTTGGTGAGGATGTGGAGTGGCTAGAGTTTTATACACTATGGTGGAAGTATAAATTGGTACAATCTCCTTGGAAAACAACTTAACATTATCTTGTAAAGTTTAAATAGGCTTATGCCCTATAAATCAGCACTTCCACTCCAACGTATATGCTAGAGAAACTTTTCCACCTGTATGTATCAGTCTCTTCTAATCTGCAAGTTCCTCCTCTTATTGCAAGAGATTGCAATTTGAAAAAATAAATTAAACTTGGTTGTTTGTGCTGCTGAGTCCTAGTCTCTCTTGAACCCAGTTCAGTCAGGCTCCACCCAAAATGTTCTTGTTAAGGGCATCAGCAACCCTTCCCTGCAAATCAGTCAGTCCTCAGTCCTCATCTTAGTTACCCATCATCATTTGCTCACCCTCTCCGCCCAAAAGCACTTTCTTCACTTGGCCTCTCAAACACCACCCACTCCAGTTTTTTCTCCCACCTCACTGGCCACTAAGCCTCCAGTGCTGGCTCCGCCTCTCCCCATCTCTCCTGAGGCATTCTTCTCCATCTACACTCACTCCCTGGGAGATCTCTTACAGCCTCCTAGCTTTAAAGTCCTTACATCCGACAGGATGGGCTGTTATGCTGAGGTTACCAACAACCTCAAAATCTCTGCAGCTCATAAAAACAAAGATTCCTCACTCCCGCTTCTTGTCCATTGTGGGTTGGCTACATCTCTGTGCTGTCATCATTCCAGGACCGAGGCTGAAGGAGCAGCCCTTACCTCAGACATTGCCAGTCTCACAGCAGAGAGTGAACAGAGAAAGTGGCTGTCACGTCATGGCTCTCAGTTCTACTTGGGAATAGCACAGGTCAATTCTCACATTGCAGACAGCAAAGCAGATCATAAGGATAACCCTGAGGGCAGTGAGATAAGGATATCTAATCCTTCTGTGAGGAGGAACAGCAGATCTTTTTGAACAATAACAACACTTACCATACCATCCATGTGCTATCAGTGGATATCTACTAGGCCCCCTCAAACTCTAAACTTCCAAAACTCATCTCTGGATCCTCCCGCCATCCTATACTGTTCTCCCCACACAGACTATTCAGTTGACAGCAACTCCTCTGATCACCCCAGCCCCAATCCTTGAAGTAATTCTTAAGGCTGCTCTCACACCGCACATCCAATCCATCAGGAATTCCTGTTGGCTCTGCCTTCAAAATATATCCAGAAATCTGACCACTTTTCGCTACCTCTGCTACTGTTAACCTGGTGAGAGTCACCCTCATCTCTTGCCTGGACGACTGCAATAGCCTCCTGTCTGGTCTCCCTGCCTCTAGCCTTGCCTCCCCTGCCCTCCGCAGTCTATTCTTAACATAGCAGCAAGAGTGATCCTTTAAAAGTCAAAGACAGAACACATCGTTCCCACTGCTCAAAATCCTCCAATGGCTGCTCATTTCTCTCAGAGTAAAAGCTGCAGCCTTTACAATGGTCTGCCAAGTCCTACATCCTCTGTGCCCCCCACCTCCTCTAATTTCCCTAATGTCATTTCCAGCCCACTTCTTCACTTCCACACATGCCTTCCTGCTGTCCCCTTGAGTGTGTGCCTCTCGTGTCCACCTTAAGGCCTCTGCACTTGTTCCCTCTGCCTGGAGTGCTCTCGTCCTAGATAACAGAATAGAAGACTCCCTCACCTTCTTCAAGTATTTGCTCAAATATTACCTTCTCAGTTATGCCTCCCCTGACTTCCATATTTAAAACTGCAACATTCCACCCCCCGCCATTTCCTTGGCACGTCCAATCCTCCTTATCCTGCTTTATATTTTCCCCCAAAGCACTTATCATCATCTTCTTACAAACTACTTAATGTACTCTCTATAGTCTGTCTGTCCCCACTAGAAAGTAACTTCCACAAGGACTCAGATTTCTGTCACTTGATGTCTCCCAAATGCTTAAAGGATCGTCTGACAGTAGGCACTCCACAAATATTCATTAAATGATAGAATGAACATGGGTGAAAGAAAAGACCAAGATGTAAAAGAATGTACACTGCATGATACTTCATAAAGTTCCAAAACAGGAAAATGTTTTAAAATATTGTTCAGGGAATCATACACAGAGAGTCTATGAATGCATGATATTAGTAAAGGAATGGTAACATTTGGGATAGTGGTTATCTCTTAGGATAAGGATGAGGAGAAGAGACATAAGACCTACTTCAATAGTATTGATCAGGTTCTATTTCTTAAGTTGGGGAGGTGGTTCATAGGTCTCTTTTATCATGCTTCCAAACTTTCATATGGCTTATATGTATTCTCCTGTATGTGTCAAATATTTACAGTTACAAAATGTTTTTTAAAAAAAAGGACGGGAGCCAGCTCTAGGAGTTGAGCAATGGTGTACTAAACAAAGGAACAAAGGGTACAAAGGCCTGAGGTGGGAAAGGTGTACTGTTGGAGGACTTGATAGAAAGCCAGGGTGCCTGGAGCACTGTAAGCAAGGGAGAGGGTGGCATGAGATGAAGTGGAGACGTTTGCAGGAACCGGATCGTGTGGAGGAACTGGATCTCGAAAGCTCACAGTAAAGAGTTTGAATCTGATTCTAAGTGCAGTGGGAAGCCAGGGGAGGATTTTAAGCAGGTGAGAGACATATCAGATTTACGTTTGCAAAAGTGATTTTGGCTGGGGCTTTGGCTGGTTCTCGAGCCAAAAGTGGGCTTCCCCAGATATGAAGGAACATGGCCTCTAGCCTCTCATCTGACTAGAGAATGAGTAATAAGAATAAAGGGGGAATGGCAGTGGCATTTACTGAAATGGGGAACACTGAACAGAACATAATGCAAATGGGGGTGTTGTAAGTGAGTTTGAGACTTGGAAAGGTAAGAGGGGTCAGATCCTGAAGACCCTTATAAATCTAACAAAGGGGGCTGAACTTGATCTTGTAAATACTGGGGAACCATGTACTCTACAGCTGCTTTTAAAGGTTTTAAGCTAAGGCGTTCCATGGTCAGACTTGCTTTTCAGAAAGATCACTTTGGTGGCCAGGGCAGAAAATGAAGTAGAGAGCGTTAACACTAGAGAAAGGGAGGCCAGTGAGGCTCCTGGGAATACTGTCTGGCACCAGATTGTGAGGCCTGAATTAGGGTGATGACAGTAGAGATGGAGGACACAGATATGAAATATATCAGGAAGTAAAATCAGTAGGAATCAATAACCGGTGAGATACTGTGGGGAGAAAGGAGTTGGGGTGGAGGTGGAGTCAAGGATGGTGGTCAGCACTGATTGGCCATTTGCCTCCCCCTCGCTCCAGATGTTTAAGACAAACGTGCCACCAGATCCCAAGGAGGTGGCAGCCATTGAGGCTAGAAGAAATCGAGAAAAAGAACGACAAAGCCGAGTCTTCAATGTGCGGACCAAAGTCATGGGGGTGAGTGGGCAGCACCATCTCTGGACCAGGGGCCGCCTCACTCATGTCCCTGGAGAGGAGCATAGCAGGGCCCATCACAGCCCCTCCCTGACTCAAGCAGACCTGAGAGCTGAAGAGGAGGGAGGAGGGGGAAAAGGCACCAACTCCTATAGGTGCAGGAAGGGCCTGGGAAAGGGGGTGGAGGATGCAGGGGAAGAGGAGCCAGTGACAGCTGACTCTTCTCCAGTCAGCTCTGGGCCAAGCGGCCGGGTTCTCGAGAGACAGGCACATGGAGCAAAAAGAAGTCTAAAGAATATTTGGTAGTATATGTGCCTGAACTCTCTGGAAGGCTACATAAGAAACTGTTAACCGGGCTGAGGGACAGAGATGGGAGGGACACTTACTCTTCACTAAACTGTAGTCCCTTTTGCACTATTGTGAAATGTTTTAAATGAATTATAACCAAAAGAAAGAGAAAATATTGATAGCTTAAGAAAAATAGATTGCTGGGTGGGTGTACAGAGGAGGGATGCAGCATGGTGTTCTGGAAAAGACCCCATACCTATGCTCAAGGGCCAGGTCTGCAGTTTACTAGAGGTGTGGCTTTGGATAAGCTCTTCTCTGAGCTCCCACCTCCTCCTCTGTAAGATAAGGCTAAATAAAGGAAGTGTTGGGGTGCGTATTAACAAATGGTGATGGCTCTGAAAAACAGAGTGGGGTGCCTGACACAAGTAAGTAGTTGGCTGAGGGGTGAGTGGTGTGACTGAGATCAAGTTGGCAAGCGTTTCCTCGGGGCCTGCTCTGTGCCGAGCAAGTCCTGGATTGGGCGGTAGGGATACAAAGCTGACGAAGGCCCAGTCTCTGCCCTTAGTGGGTTCACAGTCTGGTGTAGGAGATAAAGAGGCAAACTTCAATATAAGGTGTACAGTGAGTCCTGGACTCTATGGGAGTAGCACCTGCTGGAGGGGTCAGGAAAATCAAGCCTGAGCTGGTCTTGAGGGATGAATAGGAGTTTGGGTAAAGAGGGGAGGAAGGAGGGCTCCAAGCAGAGGGAGCAGCTGGAGCAAAGGCTGTCAGTTCAAAACAGTCTAGGAGGTATAGGGAACTGTAAGCAAAGCTCCCGAGGGTGGGACAGTGCAAGAGGGTACTGAGATGAGGCTGGAGACAGAGGCAGAGGCAGAGGCTAGACCACTGAGGAACTTACAAACCAGATTGAGATGGTGACACATTATTCAGTAGGTACTGGAGATCCCGTAGGGGGATTCTGAGCATGTAAATTCTTAGCAGTTTGTGTTAGAGCATTCAAGGCCCGCTGCTGGGCCTCTCTGCTGATTCCACTCATTTCTTTGGGATCAGGTGGATGTAGAAGCCCTGAACAGCCAGGTGGAAGAACGAAAACTTCGGGAGACAACAGAACGGAGCAAGGAGGCAGCTTATGGTAAAAGCCCAAGGCCAGGGGCCAGCCAAAGGGGAAAAGCAAGGGCCTGAGTGGGCAGGTCGGGCAGTTCTGCCTCGGAGTGGGGCCTGAGGCCTGGCGTGTGGTGGGACAAACCAGATGGGCCTTTGGGAACAGTGGCTGTGCTGAATGGGCTCTGTCCCTCCTGAGGGGCCTTCTCCAACGTCCATGACCACCACCCCCAGGTACCACCCAGGTGCAGTATGATGTAGTAGCTCAGATGCTACAGAAAGAAGAAGCAGAACGGAACCGTCGGCTGTCCAAGAAAATCCAGGAGTTTCGAGAGCAGAAGCAGCAGCTCAAGAAAAAGTGTGAATTTGACCCCTGGGATCCATTCCGACTCTGGATGAAGTATCCAGCTCCTCTCCGTGACAATGATCCCTACTGTGGTGCAGCCAGCCTGCAGTACTTCCCGGGGGAGAACCGGGACAGGGCCAGATGCCCGAGAATGCAGCAGGAGCAGTTCAGGTACAACCTGGAGAGGCAGCTACAAGAGCAACAGCAAGCCAGAGCTAATGAGACTTGTATAGGTAAGCAGTGGGGCCCTCCAGGCTGCAACCTGAGGCCTAGCAGGGAGTTGTCCTGAGCTGGGTTCAGCACCTGGAAGCCCAGAATTGTGTGGGGAGTTCCACAGGGCTAATGCTGAAAGGTTAGACTGAGCAGGCCCCAACCTCCCTGACTTCCTTCAGTAACGGACAGTGTTGCCATTGATTCCCCCATCAGCCTTGGCACTCCATTACCTGGAGGTGGCAGAGTGAAGACTAAGGGCTTTGCTGCTGAATAGCTGGTCTGAGCAAATGAATTTTCCTCTCTGTGCTTCGGTTTCCTCATCTTTAAAATGAGGATAATAATCCATACCACAAAGAGCTCGTATGAGAATGAAATAAGATACTGTATGTAAAGGCACAAGCGTCAGTGCTCAATAACCAGGAGTTCCTATTACTATGACATCTGTGGCCACGTCCTCTTCCATTAGAGTAAGCCCTTCAAGGGCAAGGACCATCTCTTAGCTACCCACATTGCTCACCTTTAAAATTGGCCCTGTTAACAGCATCCTGTTCCATCTACCACTTATCATAGAGGTAACTAATTCTCAAAGTATTTATGGAATGTCTGTCTTCTTCCTAAGCTGTCAGCTCACTGCAGATGAACCACATCTCTTCCACCCCTTGTATCCCAGTTGCCTAGTAACAGTCTGCCACAGTGTCAGGGGCTCAATAAATCATTGTTGAATGAACAACTGGAGACCCAAGTGAACAAGGCAGGCCTAGGAACCCACAGAACCATGCCTTCCAGAAAAATCAGTTTAGTGTAAGAGAAAAAGACACATGCGTAAGTCATTTATCAGTAAATATCTATGCTTTAACACTGTGTGAGGTCCTATGATAGATACTGTAATAGAAATATATAGGGACAAGGAGCAACCATCAGTCAATATGGGGGTGGTCAATTCTCATAAGGGAAGGGAGGCAGCGTAGGGGGTTGGCAAAGGTCAGCTGTCAGGAACCATTTTTGAAAAGTCGGGTACACTTACTGCGAGATGGAGAGCGGGAACAGGAAGAGGTCATTCTAGGTGCCCCCCCCTCCACCTAGAGGGGTGAGGAAGTGGGGAAGCAAGAGGAACAGCTAACCTTCATTGTGCACTCACTGCATCCCAGACACTGCACTAAGCTTTCTAGTGTGTATTAACTCACTTCATCCTCACAACAACCCTGTGAGGTAAGTACCAGTAGTATCCCCATTGTCAGTGGAGGAAACAGAAGGACGGAGATGTTAAATAACTTGCCCAAAGTCGTACCATTAGTCGGTGATGGAGGTGGGAGGTGAACTCAGGCAGGCTGCCTCCAGAGCCCATACCCTTGACTGCGACACCATCCTGGCCCTCTCTCTGTCACCATGAGAAAGTGGGGACTGAGAGGCCGAGGGAGTCGGCACACGCCCTGGAGGAGTTCAGGTGGGAACAGAAACCTGTCTATTGGATTCAGAAATTCGGAGTATTGGGTGATTTGGGACAGAGCAGTTACCACGGCACTGGGGGCCCAGCTGCCCAATGGCAGCAGGTGGGTATACAAGAAGGGAGGGCAAGGCAGCAGGGGCCAGCAGGATGCTGAGGGGGGAGTCTGTGCAGTATGATGGAAGGAGCGTGGGCTGCTTCCTCAAGAGACCTGGATTCCAGCCCCAGCCTCCTGCTCGCTGCCTGTGTAACTTGGGCATTTGATCTCACCTCTGGACTTCAGTGTCCCCTTCTGAAAAATGGGGCTGATCTGTCTTCTCTCGGTTGCTGTGAGGAGTGAAATGAAACAATGCACCCTTCTCCTCTCTTTCCCCCAACCCTCCAGTCTCTGAAGTCTATGTCCCTGTGCCTCTTCAGAGCCAAGCCTATGCTTTGGACTCCATTTTCCCTGCCTGCCACCCACGCTATGCTCCGTCAGGTATCCCCTCCCCAGCATTCTCAACTGGCCCCTTCCATGCAGGCTGTAAACATGCTTCCTTCCGTCTAACTCATCTTCAGAACTCAAATGCCTCCCCCTACCCTGTGATTCCTCTAGATGCTGTGAGCCAGCTGTTTTCCTCTATGGCCAGACTTTTGAAAACACCTGCTTCCACTTGCTGTCTTACCTCCTAACTTTCCAGCCACACCTCAACCACGGAGATCTCATTTCCCCCCACACAGCTTCACTGACACTACTAGTACTAAAATCGTCCATGCCCTTGTGTTATGAGGTATGAGAGGCTGTTTAGTATCTTCTCCTTGATCGGACCTTTCTTGCTACACTTGCCTCTGACCACATCTTCCTTCTTAAATGTCTCTTCCTTGGCTTCGGTGACAGCATGTTCTGCTCATGGCTCTCTGACCATTCCTCCTGTCTGCCCTTTTTGGGCTCCTTTTCCTTCTACTCCTTCCTTCTTGAGACTCTGTCCCTGGTCCACTGCTCTCCCTAACCTGCACGCTTACCTCAGGTGCCCCAGGCCCTCATTCCAGTTTCAGTGAACATGTCACCACCTCTGTGCTGAGGATGCTCTACTTGCAGAATCAGCTAGCCAGATGCATGCTGATCACCTCCAACCCAGCTTCCTAAACAGAACTAATCAGTGCTGCCTAACCTGCTCTGCATTCTCTATCTTCTTTCCATTGCTGGCCACACCATGCTTGCAGTCCTCCGAGCCAGGACCTTAGGAAGCATCCCTGAGTCTTTCTTCTCCCCTATTCCCTCATCCAGTCCATCAAGTATTGCTGATGTAACCTCCATCTGTTTCCCCTCCATCCTTTCCATCACTGGCCTGGTTTGAGCCCTCCCGATGGGCCTACTGTGAAAGCCTCCGAGATGGCTTCCCTTCCTCCACTGTCTCCCACCAGCCTGACTGTCCTCTATACTGGCTACCAGAAGGAGCTTTCTAAAACGCAAATCTAACTGTGCTCCCCTCCTTGCTTAAAATCCTTCCATGTTCCCTACCACCCTCAGGGTCAAGGTTCTAGCCCTCAGTCTGGTCCCTCTACAGCTTCCTGGTTACTTGCATTTGATGCTCTAGCAAGAGCAGACTATTTATAATTGGAGATACAGACCATGCTGTTTCTTGACTTATTCATTTGATATTTAATGAGCACCCACTATGTGCCAAGCTCTGATGGAGGTGCTGGGGTGTGGTGGCAGATAAAACAGACAAAATTCCCTGCCTTCACAAAGGTTTACCTTTAGTGAGAGAGACAGGCAATAGATAAAATAATCAAGTAAAATGTGGGGTATATTGGGTGGTGACAAATGCTAGGGAGAAAAATAAACCAGGGAAAGAGGATAAATGTTGGGGGCAGGCAGGCTGCAATTTTAGGTAGGAGAGACAGGGCAGGCCTCACTGAGGCGGTAACATTTGAGCAAAGACCTGAGGGAAGCAGGAAGCAAGAGAGCATGAGATAAGGGTAACATTTATTGCAGATCCCTAAGGCAAGAGTGTCTGGCATGTCCTGGAAACAGCAAGGAGACCAGTGTGGCTAGACTGAAGTAAAGTGTCAATACCTTTGCTCGTGCTGCACCTGCAGCCTGGAATGCACTTTGCTCTTTTTAGCTATATGCAACACATGTTTCAAGGATCACTTCCTCCTGGAAGCCTTCCTTTCACCCAAACCTCTCTTAATGCCCTGTACACATCTGTCACTGCCCTTACCACCTTGTGGTATGCTGATTTATGTTTGATCCCTCTCCTCTACTGGACAGGGAATTCTCTGAGAACAGGATTGAATTCACTGATGTCCTCCAAACCTAACACATGGCCCTTAGACTGAGGCTCAAGAGATGAAAATGATTTCCCCAAGGTCACAAAGCTCAGATCCAATAGAGCTGGCACTGAGACCCAAGTCCATTGGAGGAATCTTTCAGTTAGGCACCTGAGAAATCCTTGTAGCTGTCACTTTGGTTATCCATCGCCCTAAAGAGTAGCTCCTTCCACATTCCTGCAGTTAGGACATTACCTGCCTCCCAAACACACATACATAGACATCCACAAAGCTTGCTGAACAAATGGCTGAATGAGTGAAGCGGGAAGGGAGCAAGCTAGTACAGTACAGCTCTGGCCATCTTTCTCTGTGCAGATATGCTCAGTGACCAGCTGCGCCTAGCCATGAACATACGGGCCACCCAGATGGCCAAGCTGGAGGAGTCCTATCGCATGGCCCCGATGTCTGCCATGGCTAATGCCAACAAAGCCCAGGTACGGCAGGAGCCACCCAGGGCACTGGGCTCTCCCCAGTCCCCTGAACAAAGTCCTGGGGAACCTGAGCCACATCCTTCCCCCTCACACTCTGTCTCAAATCAACACCAGCCCCCTCATCTGCCTGAGGACGTCCCCCTTCACCTAAGGGCCCTTTTAGGGTGGAAGGTACTCTTCCCCACCTCTAGACTCAGGATGATCTGAGAACAGAACACTGCCCTCCCTTCCCCCAGCCTCTCAGTCTCAGGGCTTCCAGAGGGCAGGGAAATTCCTTGCCCATGCCAGCCCTCCCCCTACCTTAAGTCACTCAAAAGACCATGAAGTATCTGGTCCTTCTCTCCCTGGGAATGGAGGGAAGTAGGGCCATGTCCCCTCCTTCCCTGTGGCTGAGAGTCCCCTGAGGTTGGGCAACCACACACTCACATTTGAGGGCCCCACCAGGCAGCCGAGATGGCTGAGCAGCAGCGCCGTGAACGTCAGCGCCAACAGGAGGCCAACCTCATGGAGATCCAGAGCCAGGTCTCGAGCAACCTACTGTCGGAGAACCCCCAGGTCGCCCAAAACCCTGTGGCTCCACACAGGGTCCTGCCCTACTACCTGATGGGCATGACTCCAGAGCAGCGAGCTGCCATCAGAAGAGTCCAGGAGGCACAACGCCGTGAAAAGGAGGCACAGCGCCAGGCCGAACAAGCACTGGATAGCGAATGGGAAAGCCAGGCTGTGAACTTAGCCCAGGCGGCCATGGAATTAGAAGAGCAGGAGAAGGAGCTTTGTGCTGAATTTCGGAGGGGGCTAGGCTCCTTCAACCAGCAGCTGGCTGAGGAGCAAAAGGCTCAGTGAGTTCTATGGGGTGGCAGCAGGGGTGAATGCCCAGGGAGGGTGAGGAGGGATGGCAAGGGCCATGGAGTGAGGCAGAGCCCGTCAGCTGAGCCCTCTGGGTTTCTTTCACAGGCAAAATTATCTGAATGCAATCATCTACATCGATAAGCCTACAGCCCAGTATTACCTGCAATACAACACCAGCAGCCGCTGAACTCAGGACGGTCATCTCTCCCTCCTCCCCCATCAAGCCCACAGAGGCTGAGTCAGAGGAAAATGCTGCAGACCCCCTCCACCAATCCTTCCCCAGTGGGAGAGAGCTGAGCCACTACCCCCACCTTTGACCCTAGGTAATAAAGTTATTCACCAAAATCAAGGCCACGTATTGTCACAGGACACAAGAGGTGTGAGGTACTGCCTCTCCCGCCCCACCCCTGGGCTCTGAGCACCCCTGTCAGTCTTCTCCCAGTCACCTTTCTTCCCCATGCCAGCTCCCCCAGCACACAGTGCTGCCCACTTCCCTGTGAGAAACAGAGGCTTTATTAGGCACAAAGGGTGACTGGTGGGCAGAGGTTACAAAATGGCTACTGGGCTTCCTCCTAAGCTGGAGTAAAGAACTCCAGAAGGAGGGGCAAAGGGGCATGGTGCATGTTTTCTCTGCCCTCCCCCTTCAAGGCTGCATGCGGATGGCCCCATCCAGCCGGATGACCTCTCCATTGATGAATGGGTTCTCGATGATGGCCTGTACCAGATGAGCATACTCAGCAGGATCGCCCAGTCGTCTGGGGAAGGGCACCTGGCTGGCCAGGAAGTTGCGCACTTTATCTGGGAGGGTGGTCAACAGCGGGGTGCCAAATAGGCCTAGACAAGACAGCCAGAGTCAAAGACCCACCCCTGCTTTCGTATTTACCCAGTCTCTCAACTCCCTACTTGGGGTGCCTCCTGTGCCCAGAAATGGAAGGCTGCTGCTATTTAGGTGGTAACTACTTTCCCCTCTCAACTAACTGCCCACGGATCCCACCCAATCCCAGGTGTGGCAGGGAGGGGATATGTCTACCTGGAGCAATGGTCATCACTCGGATGCCCATGGGAGCCAGATCACGAGCAATGGGCAGTGTCATGCCCACTATGCCCCCCTTGGAAGCAGAGTACGCAGCTTGTCCAACCTGAAGAAGGAGTGCAGGTTACAGGGGGCAGGACCCCAACAAGTCACCGAGGCACAAGCCTTGCCCTTGCCCACACACCTGGCCCTCAAAGGCAGCCACGCTGGCAGTGTTGATGATGACCCCACGTTGGCCTCCCTGGTCTGGTTCATTCTGGCCCATCTCACCAGCCACCAGGCGGATCACGTTGAAGGTGCCTATGAGATTCACCTGGAGGACCAGTAGAGACATGGTGTAGGACCTGAGGCAGAGGCAGTCTCTTGTCCCCTAAAAGCTTTGGGGGCACCCACAGCCAGATACCTCTCATTACTACCCCTGGAGAACCTCTAAGGCCTTACATTGAGAACTCGTTGGAAGTCCTCCAAGGTATGGGCCTGGCTCTTCTTTAAGTTGTATGTCTTGCTGGCCACTGCAATGCCTGCACAGTTGACTGCCACATCCACACGGCCAAATTTTTCTTTTGCTAGAGTCAGGGCTGCTTGTACGTCCTTCTCTGAGGTCACCTTCAAAGGGAGAAGTGGAGAAGGTATTCATCCCCCATCTCTCTCTCTCTCTCTCTCTCTCACATACACACACAACTGAACCTGGGGGAGGGGAGGGCAAGTCCAGTCTTTGAGTGACAACTGAATTGTGTAAGCAAGGAGAGGCGGAGAGAAAAGAATGTGACAAAGGTGAAAATGTTACGGACTATTGAGCAGTGTTGTGAAATATTTTTCAAATCTAGACCCTCTTTTGATAAATTCACACACCCCTGGAGATTCTTAACTGCTGTGGATCAGAAGAGTTTTGAGAATTATTGATATGAAGATAAACTAGATTTTTTTGTACCTCTACCTGCTAAGATGATTTCCTCAAGCTTTACTTTCTGTTGTTTGTTTCATGAAAAGTTTTTCGACTTTGTAAATATAAAATTACAGGGCATGATATGCATTTTCAAACTATACATACCTCCTGGAAGAGATTCTGACATGTCCAATCCCCAACCCCAACGTTGTGAATCCCAGCTTTAGAAATTCCTTATCGTAGGTGTTTGAGGATGGCTCAGGCCAAAATGGAAAAGGAGACGGGTCCACTGCCCACGTAGACGGCACCCTTATGAAAAGGGACCCCATGGGGAAGGCGGGGTAATCCCACTTACGTCCGCTGGGGCAAAGGCGCAGCTCTTCCCTAACTTCTTGGCCTGGGCCTCCCCATCCGAGTTGGGCAGGTCCAGAAGTACGGCAGTGGCCCCCTGCCCTACCAGTCGCTCTGCCGTGGCCAGGCCTAGGCCCGAGGCTCCACCGGTTATTACGGCGACCAGACCCTGTGAAGAGGGGCACTGTTAATAGTTACACTGTGCAAACCACCCCCACGCTTTCATCTGCCCATTCTCCAGGCTTCTTCGAGGGAGGCTCCTGGTCACCCCTGCGGAGTGACCGCGGTATGCCGCCTCACCTTACTGATGGGACCTCCAGGTGTCTCACCCCTAAACAGCTCATCTAGTCGCCCCACATACACGTGCCTCGGAGAGTTGACCTTCACCTCCCGAGCCCAACCGCCGCAATACCAGGCCGAGATAAGCGTGACCCTTTCTCCCAGCACCGAGCTCTTCCCCCTAGTTCTCCAGCCGCGCCGTCCCGGGCGGTTCAGCGGAGTAAGCAGCTGGGGAGAAGACCCGGTTACCTTCACGTTCCGACACGCCGCAGCCATCTTGCGCTCACCTCTCCTCAGGCAGGACTGTCGGGCGCTCTTTGATTGGCGGAGGCGGAGCCGCGGGGCGGGGCCGGCGAGGCGGGCGGTCCTCGGCCTGGAACTTCCGGCGCGTGTCAGCCACTCACGTCGTCTGCAGAGAGGGCGAGGCCAAGGCTGGGTCCACCCCTAGAGAGTTATTTCACCTGGGGAAAGAACCTTGCAAAACCGCCGCGCCCTCCGTCCAACTCTCTAGCTGGCCTTTGGTAAGGAGGTCAGCTCTGCTGGGGGAGGGGGACAGAAGATTGAGAGCGTGTCCCTTACTCCTCGGAAAAAGCCTCCATTCAAGTATAAACATATCGGAGAGACTTCTATTTGCCAGGCTCTGTGCGGGGCACTGGGAATACCCAGGGGAATAATAAAAGGTTCATACCTTCCAGGAGGACACGATTCCTTTGGAAAAAGAGATAATTACAGTAAAAAAAAAGATAATTACAGTACAGACACAAAGGAAGGGACAGAGTATCAGATTCTGGAACCGAGACATAGATACCCAAAGACGGAGATTCTGAGAGCCACGTAGAGAAACATGTGTTGATGAAGTGATTGAGAGGAACAGAGATGCCAGACGGGATCCTAGAGATATGACTGTGGCGAGCCATTAAGAGACAGGAAGCTAGGAGACAGACATTATGAGACACAGCTGCTGAGAAGTACAAACTCAAGGAGACATAAACAGAGAAGCAAACAACATCTTTCATCAGTTCAGCCTTTGCCACTGTCTTCCGTGTCTAACCTATTTCAAACCTCAAAGGCCAGGTCATACATTTTAGATTGGACCTGAACCAGGGACTGTCATACTTATCAGGTCTTTGATCATCCTAGAACATCTTTCAACCAGTATCTCAATTAGAGTCTTGAGCCCACCTAATCTGCCTAATCTGACTTCTTTCTATACTTTTCCCCAAACCAAGGTCTTCAGACCATAAACCTTAGTCTACATTTTCAGCCACATTCAGCTGTCTGTTTCTTCTATCTGAAGGTTCTCCCTACATGCTTTCCCACTCAGGAAGACTTCCCTCTGGGCTTCCTAATTATTGACAACCACTACACCCCTGGTCACTACACTGTATTCATCAAAGGGTTTAGTACCAGATTCACAAACTTTCTGACTACATGAGGTCCCCCTAGCAGTCTAAAGCACTCTTCACTGATCCCAACATGCTCTAGCCACAGTCTCTATGTTCATCTTTGAATTAGCTATTCCCTCTACTTGGAATGCTCTCCCCCAATCTTTACAGGACTGTATTTGTTGTTGTTGTTTGGTCATTCAGAACGAAGCTGCAATGTCACCTCCCCTCCCTGACCACTCAAGCTGTAAGTCACCTCATTCCAAGTCCATTGTGTTGGAGGAGGTCATCAAGAGGATGTGACCTCTGGTTGACCCCAGAGTTGGATCAGTCATTGGGAGGATCCTCACCTCCTCCCCTGTCCTTAGAATGTACCTTCTACCTACCATTCCCACAGCCAAAGCTTTTTCAAGGACACAGCCTTGGGAGAGTAAGGTGATGTTGAGACCATCTGGATTTAATACATGACTAAACCTCATTAAGTCCTCTATATAAACTTTTAAGATTCTGGCATATGGGTGCAGAGATCTACTCGTCTTTCTGCCACCCAAAACAAACCTTGTAAGTATGTTCCCTTGCTCGTTAAATCTGACACCCACCAGTCTGGAATGTCCTGCCTCTTTTTCCATCTCTCCTTGCCCTCTGTGTACAGGGGCCCATTTTTGAACCAGCACATTGCATGTTTGAATTCTGTGCATAGCACTTACAGGTCTATAATCTTCTTTCCAACTTTGGGGCCAGATGTGTTTTGGAATTCAGAATCTTTTCAATTTTAGTCAAGAAGACAGATACCCTACATTACATAACTCTGTACACTGCACACACTCTATATTATGTAACTAGTGAGAAAGTTCTGGAGCATCACTTAGAATTCAACATTAATACTTCCAGAGTGAAAGTATGAGAATTCACACTGAGTGAATCAAAACTACAGATAGCCTCATGCTACTTCAGGTCAGTTTTTGTCACCTAATGAGTTTGGGCTCCAAAGTATGAAAAAAAAACCTACCTTATACTTTTCAGAAACTTTGGTGTTATGGAATTGTGCCTAAAGTCTTTTGAGCCTTGTCTAATCTGACCTTGTGTGTGTGTTTGTGTCATTCTCCTCACACTGCAAGGTAAACCCCATGGCAGCAGAGTCTCCTCTTACTGGTTTACCTCTTGGCTACCCGATGTCAAGAATACTCAATAGGGATGAAAGAATATATTAATCCATCATCAATCAATCTTGGGAGAATTTGCAGGTCCAGCTTCATGTTCTTTCATCTGCTTAGCTCCAGGGATTTTCATCTCCTCCCTACTTTAACCACCTCTGTCTAGATCACATTATTAACCTTGTCACGCCCTGAAGTGACTCCCCCAACCTCCCTGGCATCTACACACCACCGTCTCTCACTCTGACCATCTTCTC